CTCTATGCCCTGGTTGGGGCCAAGGAGAAGGAAAAGAAAGAAGTTGAAGCATCGCCCCAGGTCCAGGAGGCTCCTGATGGCCATGGCCCCAAGCCCACGCACTGGAGGTGCGTGTGGCGCCCCGGCATGGATATCAGGAGCGAGCGTACGGTGCAGCGCAAGGGAGTGGTGGGCTTCCTGAGCTGTGGCGAAGTCTTCAATGTGATCCAAGAGTGGCGAGGCAGAGAGGGCACCCTCTTCCTCAAGCTTGCCGGTAACAAGGGTTGGGTCTTCGACAAGACCCGTACCGGCACCTTCTGCGTGCCAGTGGGAAGCGAGTGGCAGGACTGGCGAGGTCCTGAGGGCCACAAGGCCTGGACGGCCAACAACAGAGACCAGCACGGATCCTGGAACAACGCCCCCAGCGGGAATGGTCGCGATCGCGGAGGCGACAAGTGGAAGTGGGCATGCGATCACAATGACCGTGGTTGGGGGAGCAGCAAGGAGTCCAGCTCTTCTTGGAAAGGCCAAGAAGACAAGTGGGCATGGAAGCAGAACGATCGTGATACTTGGCGCCATGAGCATGCAGGGAGCGGCAACGAGTGGAAGTCTGGGGGCTACAACGGCCAGAACAAGACGGAGTCACACAAGAATTCGTGGTGATGCTGCGGCCTTCCCATCAAATCCTGATGTTCCGACTTGAGCTCTGTGCGTAGTCTACAGTGAACCCTAGAAAGTTGGAACATGGTTTAAGCCCTAAACCCCAAACCCTAAACCCTAAACCCTAAGGATGATAAGTGCTGGGATTTCTTATGCTGTACCTCTAAGGGGCATGAGGAAACGAATGAGCCAACTTTCTGGTTTCTACCACAAGGCCCAAGAGAGAGCTGCGCCGTTTTTTGTCACCGTCCCCAGAGAGCCCAATAAATACCCCTTACTTAAGGAATATACCTTAAATCAGAACCCCAAAGTTTAAGATATATTCCGTACTTGAAGGGGTATTGGGCTCTCTGGGTCTGACTTAGAGGATCATGGGGACTTACTAAGAAAGGTTGTAAGTAGCCTAAATTGGGATTAGAAGTAAGAGCCCCAGGCAGGCTATGAGTGGCACCATGAACAGAGCCACCAACCAGAGAACAAGTCTTGGGGGGTCTACCAACGGCCAGAACCAAGACGGAGTTCGCGCAATCGCTTTTTCGTGATGTCGCAGCGTTCCACTCAAATCCTCATGTTCTGGTATTTAAGCACCCTTTAGGGTTTAGGGACATCCTCGGGTGTGTAGTCTAAGCCCAAGACAGAGCTGCGATTCATTGACACAGGTTTCACCCGTCTCTGCAGCGAACCGCAAGTTCCATTTGAAATCAGCAAGAAAGGATCTTGCATGCAGTGTCTGCGGAGTTGCTGTAGGGCCTTGGAACAGCGTACATGCAGTATTTAGTAAACCTATCTAAAGCCCTTTTTGAACTGATGATACAACAACATAAAACGCAGAAAAGGCCAGGAAAACCCTATGGGAAAGCCCTATAACAACCCTTGTAAAGGCTTTAAGAAGCCATTTTCGGAAGCTTGTGCTTGCAACTGCCAGGTGCTGCTTGCAGATCGACCCCGAGGCGCACTTGTGTTTCTGTGAACCTCCTTGACCGGAAGAGTGGCTATGGTAATTTTGAGGTTTTTAGGCGGTTTAGGGTTTAGGGTTGAGGGTTTAGGGTTTAGGGTTTAGGGATGTGTAGGGATGTTTAGGGTTTAGGGTTTAGGGTATGTCTTAGGGGCTGAGTAGGTAACCTTTAATCTTTTTGGGCTTGTATAATCCTACTATAATTCAAAAGGTTAACCTTTTTTGGTTAAGGTACTCAGCCCCTAAGTGGTGATTATGGTATTTATAGTAGTAGTGGCTACAATGATGGTAATAAAAGGCTTACACTGATTAGAGATGGACAGCATAGTCAACATGGTAAGTAGCGTTCCCGTAGAAGTTTAAACCCGCTCCTTGCGTTTCATGGAGATGACCTGTAGGCGTCGCATGAGGGGTTTAGGGGTTGAAGGTTTAGAATTCGGGTTTAGGGGTTTATAGTGGTTTAGGGCCTCTCGACAGGAAGGTTGCCCTGGGCTTTCGAAGGTATGGGCCACTTAACTACGATACTTTAAGCTAGCTAGACCTTACGGACAGCTACTTTCCTGGCTCTCAAGCTAACCGGTTAAGCATAGGCCCCTAAGTAGTTCGTTTTTGGGAATACCTTGTAGGGTTCTACATATAAACCATAAAAAGGAGCTACTTAGGAGCCTACAGACTGCAAGCCCAACCCTAAACCCTAATCCCTAAATCCCTAAACCCCTAAACCCTAAAACCCTAAACCCTAACCCCCTAAACGCCTAAACCCTAAAACCCTAAAGCCGAAAAACCTTTAAAACCCTATAAGCCCTAAACTAAAAGGTTATGCTGCGATGTTCTACTGTGCCTGTGCCATCCTGGTGGCTGCCTCGGTTTTTAAGGCTTCAGGTTTCAGGACCACGGTTTATGGTTTAGGGTTTTAGGGTTTTAGGATTTTTAGGATTTTTAGGATTTTAGGGCTTTCAGGTTTCAGGACGTAGGGTTTCATGGGCTTTTAAGGCTGTAGGGTGGCTTCTGGTTTCAGGACTTGGGGCTTTATGGGTTTTAAGGATGTAGGGTTAAGGCTGTAGGGTTTAGGGGTCTTAGGACATTCGGTCTTTAGGGCTTTAGGGTTTTAAGGCTTTAGGGTTTCGCGGCTTTTGGGTTTGGGGTTGAGGGCTTCCAGGGTTTAAGGTTGTGTCTGTGTGGGTGTGTGTTGCAACTACTTACTACTCGTACTGCGGCTGATGGACAAAAGCCATGCAATACCCGGGCAATCCTAACCTATGTTCTGCATTATGGGTAATGCAGGACTTTGTCCACCTGCAACCATTTCTGGAACCTCAATGCCGAGGTCTGATAAAGTAGCTGGCAATTGCAAGTATATTACCAACGACCTCAAAACCTTGACCTTAGTACTAAGCCCCTATAAACCTTATCGAACCCTGGCCTCAATAATTACCTATACTGTTCTGGGGTTCATTATCATAATTGTAGTAGATTAAACCATTTACTAGATGCACAAGACATCTAAAGCTTCGCTCGCATCTGACGCATGTCCGCACAACCCCAAAACCCTAGTCTAATTATTATATCCCAAACCCCTCTAGTAGCCCTTATAGAACACTTAAACTTGCCTTAAAAGGAACCCCCAAAACCCTATTCCAATTACTAAGGCCCCTTTGTTACTTAGGTTTTTTAAAGGACCCTACATTACCCAGCTGAGGCCTTAGAGTACTTGCACGAGCGCCGGATTGCCTACAGGGACCTGAAGCTGGAGAATGCCGGGAAGCTCGGTGTTTTCTTGTGGTGTTTAGGGTCTATAAGGGTTTTAGGGTTTGTAAGGGTTTTAGGGTTTTAGGGTTTAGGGTTTTAGGGTTTAGGGTTTAAGGGTTTAGGATTTTGGGGTTTGTAAAGGTTTTGGGGTTTAGGGTTTTGGGGCTTAGGGTTTAGGTTTTAGGGTTTAGGGTTTAGGGTGAAAGCGGCTGTCTTTGGGTTTCATAAGTGTAGTGTAAGGTTTATGAAGGTGGGAGGGGATTCCTACTTTAGGGTTTAGCAGTTTAGCGTAGGCATTTGGGATTCGCACGGGCAGTGTATGGTTTGTGCAGGGTCTCCATTAGAGTTAGAGTTCACCTATGGTTTCTATAAGGATTCTATAATAGGAGCTTCGAAAGAGGACGATCCATGTCGTGGGAAGGCCGCGATGGCGCTGCACCTACCTCTTGCCGTACTACTGTTGATGATATAAACCCTGCATTACCTGAAGGATCCTAAACTATGGGAATTATGTTAAATTCCATATTATGGGAAATGCAGGGTTTATATCCTCAACCGTCATTCCTCCTATTCTCCTATTCTTCCAGGACGGCGGCCGCTACTCCCAAACCGACCGCAAACCCTAAATGAATCCTAGAGAAGGATTAAATCAAAAAGCAAAGAACATCAAGGAAAGTATGAAAGGTGGGCTTCGATATTACAGCCTTGTGAAGACCATATGGATCCCCCGCCAAACAAGAGGCCTAAACCCTAAACCCTAAACCCCTAAACCCTAAACCCTCAACCCCTAAACCGTGAATCTTACCGTGCTATGAGTTAAGAGAGAGCCCTGCCCTTCTCAGGTCTCCTAACACCCTAAGCTTACAAGCCTGCAACCCTAAACCCAAACCCCTAAACCCCTAAACCCCAAACCCTAAAACCCCAAAACCCCAAAACCCTAAACCACTA